CCAAGGAAGAGTCCAGCCAGAGACTTCAGTGGCATTGGTGATGTGCAAGGCGTTAAGATGTGCACTTGGGGGGAACAAGCGTGCCTTGGTCCCAGAGGTGGGGTTGAGTCATTGCCCTCTGACTCAACATCATTTCAGCTACTTTAACTTTGACTGGCCATTAGCAAACTCCTCAGCTGCCTACTCTTTCTCCCTCTGTTTCTGCTCACTGTCCTGCAAGGTGTCATGTAAGGGTTTTCACTGGAGGACTGTTGGCCAAGTGACTGGTGTCACAAAGGGGCTAAGTAATGAAATATGTTGTGGATGTGTCTACAACACTAGCAAAAGAGAGCAATGTGCTGTGTTGTTAGGAGGCCTGCTGATGATAGTCCGATAGTGTGCAGTCCTTCAGTGGACGGGCAGTGTCTTTGCAGTTTGCTTGGCAATGCTATAGCTGCAGTGGGAGGGGGTGGGCAGCTCTGGGTTAGAGCCTGAGTGCTAGGACAGAGCAGGGCAGTGCCCTGGCCCGCTGGCTCCCTCTTCCTTCCAAGAAAAAGAAAGAAATCCAGTAAGCGCAGAGAAAAAGTTTGGTCAAGCATAGTCCCCCTCTGCCCCCCAAGTCACAGCAGTGCAGCTGCACTGGACTGTTGTGCTGCAGAGGATGCTTGCGGGGAAGTCATAGCAAGACACTGGGAGCCCCCGTCTAAGCCAGGTGTCCTGTGAGCCTTGCCTATGAGAGGACCTGTTGATGGGAAGCAGGAAGCGGTGCTCAGACACACCCACTCCCCCACCCCAGGGTGGTGCCTCCAGCTCCAGGCTTGTGGCCAGTATTACACAAGTGCCACACAGCTCTGCAAACCCTCCTCTGCCTCTTCCTGCCTGCAACAAACGCCTTCACCCAAGACTCTGGCCTCCAGGAATCGGGAAGTAAGGCTGAGCATGCAGGGGAGATGGGGAGGGCAGCCCTTGGGAGGTCTGCCACCATGGGGTGCAGAAGAGTGTCCCTAAGTGCTGGAAGAGCTGGGAGCTAAAGGGACACGTCTTAGCTAACTGTGCACTGGAGGCTGGGCTGTAGAGGCTCTGTGAGGATGCAAGCATGGAGGAAGAAGAGCCCCGGTTAGAGAAGCCAGGTATACTGTGCATTGCAGTTCCAGTGATTTAGGCTTTATTCTCAGCTCTGTGCATGGCCTTCTGCAGGTTCCTCTGTCCTCCCTATGCCTCTCTTTCCCCCCTGAGCAAACCAGCGATCATGGTTTTGATAACCTTGATAAAGCACTTGGAAGTCTGCAGTCAAACAGCCATATCAAAGCCTGTGGTGTTAATTGGAAATGGAGGGCTGAGCACTGGGAACCTGGGGCTGGAAATCTCCCAGAAATGAGAGCTGCGGGGCAGCCTCCCCAGAGGCAGAGCAGAGGCCCCGTCCCAGAGGCACCAAGTAAGCGTCTGTGGCTGTCCTGTGGGCTCTGAGGACAGGATGAGACAGAGCCTACCACGCCACCCTCTCTACACTTGTCATGCTTAGGTGGCGGGCTGCTCGGCTACGAATTGTTCAGACCCAGACGCCTTGCTGCAACCAGTCTTCTGCAGACGCAGGTGGTGCCTGGCTTCTCCACACAGCCCAGCTGTCAGAGCGGTGCTGGGAGGAGATGGCCAGCCAGGAGAGAAGCATGACCTGCAGCCTGGCTCCACAAAAAAATCCCAGCCTCTTTGGCAGCCAAAAATCCAGACGTGGCACCCAGCTCCACAGGAAACAGAAGTGGCGGGAGTGCACGTTGGAGGGAACTGAGGAGCGAGGCATCCTTTCCTGCAAGGTCTTGGCAGGACAGCTCGCTGTGATCACGTCCGAATGTCACCAGGCCCGACGGAGCGAGAGGGCGTTCTGCGCGCAGCAGTGAGGGGCAAAGGGGCTGTCACCAGTCCCAAGACCGAGTGCATGCTGCTTGCTGGTCAGCAAAACATGCTCTGCAACCTGCGGGGGAGAGTTCAGGTCGGGTGAGCGATTTGCTGCTGCCAGAGTCCAGGCTCAGTCCAAACCTTCCTTCTGGAAGAGCATGGTGGGGTTCTCGGCTGCTTGAACAGGAGCTTTGTCACCCTGGCCAGCTCCCTCTCTCTGGCCTCAGCAAAGGACAGCTATTTATTTAAAGAAAGATGGTATATAAGGTTGGGGCGAGGAGGGGAAGGACAAGGATGCTACCCAACTTTATGTTTAACTCAGCACTGGTATTTCCCCACAAGGTATGAGTTAAAAAGCAGCAAAGCCATTATAGGAGATCTAGTCCTGAAAAACAATGTTGGCTCAAGCAATAATAAATGTATTTGGTTGTATTTTAAATGCAAGAATAAACAAAAGTAGGTCTTTAAGATTAAGATACTCCATTTTTAAAGGGAAAACATTGAGAACTAAGACGAAATAAGACAGTGGTTTTCAACCTTTTTTCATTTGCGGACCCCTAAAAACATTTGAATGGAGGTGCACACTCCTTTGAATTGTAGGGGTAGGTATTCACCTACTTTTGACCATACTCATCTTTTGCAGACCCCTTAGACATAGTCTGCAGACCCCCAGGGTTGAAAACCACTGAACAAAGAGAACGAATGAGTGGAATTAGATGGACTAAAGAGCTCAAGGACTTGAATGCAGAAGCTTGGAATTTCTTTACAAGGAAGGTGCAAAAAGGAGGGACCTCTTATCCCAGTGGGGAGAAAACCTGGCTCCAATCCAGCCTCCCAGAAGAGGTATTAGGCACCAAGAGAGAAGCTATAAAGAATGGAAAAAGGGCTGATTGACAAGAAAGCTGTGTCTTAGCTATCAGGAAATGTCAGGATAAAAATAAGAATTGCCAAAAGTCAAGCTGAGTTAGACCTTGCAAAGGAAAGAAATAAAACCACAAAGCAAAAAAAATTTCAGCAAGGAAAAAAATGGAGCTGAAGAAAAGCAGGAGTAGAGCTGCTATGTACAGAGGTTTAGGCAAGTTAAAGATAATCCAAAAATGACATGTACTTGTCTCAGTTTTCATTTAAGCATGTTGCTGTTAGAAATGTTGCTGTTAGTCTAATAGAAATGAAGACATAGAAAGGGAAACTGCCACATTACGGGTGGGAAAGAAAATCAAGGCGCTAAAAGTGCTCGAGTGATGGGGACTAATAATCTCCATCTCTGAATTTTGAAAGAACTAGCCCCTGACATCCCAGGTGTGTCAGCAAGGATGCTAGCGAAAGAACTCTGTCAGCAAGGAAGTTAATGTGTCAAGTCTGGGATAGTAGTGTGTGACTGGAGAACGACAGATTTAGTACCTGCATTTAGGAAGGGTGGGGGGCGGTGGGGGATAAGGGAAGGGAGGTATCAAGGTCTGACCTCCATAGGATGAAGCTTTCAAACAATGTTTGAGCAAAAGAATAAAAAACAGATGTAAATGGAAAGTGAATACAATTGAACATAGGTTTGCCAGAGGTTGATTTTGGCAGGGGAGCCTAGTACTTAATTTTTTTGGTAACATAACCAAGGAAACCCAGGAGATCTAATCTATTTGGACCTTAGTAAAGTGTCCGATATGGTGTCACTTAGGAAACTCTTAGTTGAAGCAGAGGAAACAGGGATCTGTAGAAGGAATGTAAGGTAGATGAGGAACTGACTAAAGAAGAGAAGACAACGGGTAGGTTTTGAAAGAGGAGGTCTGGGGCCGGAAGGCCGGTTACTAGTGGAGTTCTGTAAGGATAAGTCCTGGAATCAGTCCTATTTAAAATCCATTATGAGTGACTTCAGCAGAAAATAGTGAAAGTGTGCTAATGGATTTCACTGTCATCCCAAAGTTGCGAGGCATCTTCAATACAAGTGAACAATATGGGTCAGATAGAAAGAAGCGGAGGAGCTTATGGACTGGAGCAATAGAAATGGGATGACATTTAATAGTAGAGTGTGTATGGTCATGCACTTGGAGACTAATAACAGGAATGTCTGCTAGAAGCAGGGGCTCATCAGTGGGAAAGGACAGCAGAGGAAAAAGATCTGGGTGTTTAGTTAATCATGGAATGACAGGCACCAATGTGAGAGTTTGAAAAAGTCCGATGCTATCCTAGACTGTATCAGAGAGACCTGAGAAAGCGTACTGTGGTACCTGGAAGCCTGTGTCCTTCCCAGCTAGACAGTTAGTTCAATAAAAGATATCACCCACAAAAATTCTTGTTTTGAGAATATATGAGACAAGATATTTGCAGTTGAGCTAGGGACGTACCAGTGTCATCATACGAGACACACGTGAGACTTCCTTGGAATACCGTGCACAATACTTGATCATCCGTTCACTGAAAGATTAATTAAAACTGCAATAGATGCGTAGAAGGGTCACAAGGATGGCCATGAAACTGGGACTGAGGCCCTGCCAAGTGTGTGCCGGTAGGGGGGGTTCTGTCTGTCAGATACTTTGCTGGTACTGTAAGTGGGACAGTGGGCTTGTAGTGTGCAAGACCCCAGGATAACAGGCTTTGTCCCATGGGAAAGCTGAAGCCTGAGTTTGACTTATTGAGCCTGGCACAACAAAAGCTGAGGGAATAGGATTTTGCCCTGTAAATAAGCTAGGGGGTAAACA